CCCTGCGGAAATGCGAAAAAATTTAAAGGCACCCCCATAACGGAGATGTCTTCTTACGTATACGCGCGTTTGTTGAACACGTATAGCTACTCAAGGGAAGATCTTTACAGAAGAAGAAGAGAAGAGAATTGATGACAACAAGAACATCAGGATGGATTTTTCGCAAAGCACAACGTCCGCGAGGAGACTACCAACAAGATGGGCAGACGTTTTCCTTAACGGTAACCAACTGGGAAATTTGGAAACGAATACTACAGCTGGAACTTAGATTACTACAGCTGAAGCTTACGAATGCAGTCATCGATGGCAAAGATCGTGGATTTGATTCGAGGGACAAAAAATCATTTCAACTTCTGTGCCCCTCCATGCACGCCAGGAAGCAGGCCATCTAGTAATTCATAATTGCTGCTATTTATGTTCTACGTCTCTGCCTGCGCACGCGCTGCCTAACATATTGGCAACATGCAACATTTAGCGCTGATGCTAATACTCAGACATTCGTGGTTAAGCTGCACAGGAGATCCGCCCACAAGACGAGAAATTGCGGGAAAAACCGTAGTCTTACGCGACACCCGGATTCGTCCCTAGTTTCGGGATTTTCCTAAGAGTAAAAATGAAGCGGGAGATTATCGGGAGACGAGATTTGTAGTCAATTTAGCTATGACTTCTTCAGTTAACGCGTTTACACGTTATCATAACTTATAATAACGGGCTAAGGGGTGTTTACGTTTGTGTGTGTGTGTCTGAATCTCTGTCTGTCACGAAATTCGTAGAGCGAGTTCCAGCCAACCTCCTGAGCCCAAATTTTGCACAGCGCATACTACCAACATAAAAGTCCAACATACCAAAGCATGAGTAGATCCGTTGCGTGGATTCCTCAAAAAATGCGCGTCAATCGGATCCACTTTGCATTTGGGCCGCATAATTGGGTCCGTAATTCCACTTTTTGCAAAGTAGTGGATGTTTATGCCAAGTAAAAGTGAAATCATGAAATTAGACCCAAAAAAGTTCTCAAAAGTCCATTACTTTAGAAAAACGGTGCCAAAAAGTATTAATTGCGTAAATGGTCAATTCGCCAAGGTTTTACCAGACCATTTGACAAGATTTTTGCACAAAGATGTAGCTCACGGTGACTGCTATTCTTACTGCAACTGTATAGACAATGGAAAAATCAAAAACCTTTAGAAATTTGCGTTTGTTCTCCTGCAAAAAGTCTCATCTACACGAAATCACCGATTTCACATGAAAAAGCTTTCGAAATGAGTAGTTGTTTACATTTTGTTCGTGATAGTCGGCATAGCTCGGTGAGTTCTAATGCCATCCTTATGCGAGAATGAGTAGGGCATGGATAGTAGAGCCAGTGCGAGCCTCTGCGAAGCAGAGGTGACGCACTGGTACACATTATATACGCGCACGTTATACACGCATGTATTAACGTACTTCATTTCTAAGAATATACCTCATTTGAAGGCGTATACCTAACACATAGGGTGAATTTTAGGACGGAGGTGCACAACATGGATGCAACCGAGCATATCAACAACGCTGCAGCAAGTGGATCCAGCGAGGTGGTTAGGTGTTTACTACTTTATGTTGGAACTTTAGTAGGAAGATCAAGAGTTGAATTCTAAGTGTGTCTCTATGCCATATGAGCAACTTGTGTACATAAACTAAAAAAAAATTCAAATAAGTCTTAGGCTTGATACATACCTCGCTGCAAAGGTATGGACAAAACCCGGGAACAGCGAATTCTTAGCTAATCAGCGTTGCAATTGGCTATTTCTTGGTTGAATATTGAGTGCAAAACCATCCAAACTTACTGCTCTATCTTTAATGGTTACTTCAAAAGGAAAAATTTAGAACGATTCGCACTTTAGAAGAGATGGAGTTTGCTACAAATTTCAACGATAGGAGGGCAGATGTACAGCAGCAATCTTGTTGATTCGATTGAAAACGCGCTTCCTGTGACTGACGCGTTTTTTGATTGTGGCACAGTTACAGTCAGTTTTTAGCATGGAGAGAGGAATCATCTGAAAAGTGTCAGAACTTACAATTAGAGGCAGTGAACAGCATAACAGGAGAAAGTTCGTTGTCTTTGGTCAAGTTAGGAAAACTTGTTCGCCAATTCGAAATTAACTTTGAAAATAAGGTAACCGTACGCCGATGCGAGGAAGCATTGCGATTTTTGCCGTTCAGGAAGTGCTAACGACGAAAATGAAAGAAGTAAATTCTTCATCAATCTACAGCAAATCAAAAACATCCAAGGCGCAATCGACTCAATGAGCCATCCTCAGACTCAGTTGTAAGGACCCTAACTGGAATTATAAAACAACAAAGCAATGTCATAGCTGGACTAAGTCTGACTGTAGGTAAGGTAGATACAGAACGGAGGGTCAAATGCAGTTTTTTAGATAAATACGATTCTCGTTGATTAGGAAGAACATGGTAAGCAACTACGAAAAACGTCATATCGTATAGCGAAAGGCAAGGAAATTACAATACCGGAAGGGTATCGTCGACTCTAAAAATCGTGACGACGGTCTGCAGTGCGGCCAGTGCGCGCCGCACGGCATTGCCGCTTTATCGTAGGGCAATCTTGCTTCTCTGCAGTGTAGGCTCCCTGCGGTAGCCATGAAAGTTCCTGCAAGCAAAAAAGATGCAAAAAGAAAAAGGAAAACCACAAGAACTCACCTTCTCCACGTAATTTGGGCGAATCACTAGGTGGCAGTGCCGTGCGGCGCGCACTGGCCGCACTGCAGACCGTCGTCACGATTTTTAGAGTCGACGATATGAATTTGAGCGAAAGATTTTAACAAAGTGCTGGAAATTCAGTGGGTTTCTTTCATTCAAGGTCATCTGTTGCATTTTTTTCTATCTGTAGAGCAGTAACTTAATTTTCTTTCGGAATGCAAACATGGTCGAGTTTTTTTGGAAACTGGAAGCGGCCGTCTAGAGCACACAAACATGACCATTTTTTATTAGTGATGGATTTTTACAGGTTCTATTTGGTCGTTTCAAAAGTAATTTCGCTTTTTTCAAACGGGCGCCACATTTGATGGAACAAAGGTTTCTATGAGATCTTGAAAGCATTCGATGCGGCATTTCATTCTCTTTCTAATGGTTATGAAATTGTTGCAAAATATTCAATGAGCTTTCAGAAAATAACCAAAATCTGCGACCTATGCTTTTCGAGATAGTCAAATTTCACAATTTTTAAAACTTTTATATCAACCCTCCGAAAAAGTCGCCTCTATAGGGCAAACCGTACAGAATGCAAAACTACTTTTTTCATCTTTCCATAGCTTTTCATACATTTTTAACAGAATTTTAACTGATGCTACCGATTTCCATACTTGGGCAGCTAAAACCTCGTAGAACATCAGAAGAAGACCAGTTCGGGCACTATTCGATGCATTCTCTTCTTTCTAACAGGTGTTTTTTGTTTCCGATTCGTCTAGTTTCCGGGGATAAAATCATCATAACTCATTTTTTTAGCGAGCCCCTGGCTGTAGCCGAAAAACTCGAAGTTTGATATTTCAAACCCCTAAACCCTCATTTGCTTTGTAAAATTAAAGCTAACTCATAGTATCATCTTGGTAGTCTCAAATTCGGAAAAAATTATGATGTTTGATGCGATTGTGGCTGAGGTGGGCCTGCCAAAATCCGATGGTTCTGTTAAAAAAACTTTTAAAAAAATACGGCTAGCTATGAGAAAGAGAAAAAAGTAGTACTGTATAAGGTTTACTCTATCGAATCGTTACTTGAACTCCTTCTGAGGATTGATATGAAAGTTTTAAAAAATTGTGAAATTTGACTATCTTGAAGAGCATAGGTCGCAGATTTTGGTTATTTTCTGAAAGCTCATTGAATATTTTGCAACAATTTCATAAACATTAGAAAGAGAATGAAATGCCGCATCGAATACTTCCAAGGTCTCTCAGAAAACTTTGTTCCATCAAATGTGGCGCCCGTTTGAAAAAAGCGAAGTTACTTTTAAAACGACCTAATATTTTTTAGATGTAAGTCAGACTAAACTTTCGAGCCTATTTTGATAGAGGGGTGCGCACTTAGGCCCGTGAAACAATGACCTGCAAGTTTGCTTACATTTTTGATAAGTGAGTGATTGATGGTCTTTCCAAAAATTCTAAGATAGATTTTCCAAATTTCGTTCTCGTTGCTGTTGGCCTCTAAGCAGAAGAACTTTAATTGACTGCTACTGAATGCGCGCTGTAAAATGGGTATAGACAGAAGTGTTTTCATCCCTTGGTATCTCATTGATTTAGATTTTGGCTGGGATTAGGGGACGACGACAAGGCTAGGTTTTTTGAGTTTGAAGGAAAACCAGTTCGAGAAAAAGAGCGATTTGACCAGCCATCATCTGATCAAATCGCTGCTATATTGCGTCTCCCGCAGGAGGTTGCACCCTAGAGCGGGAGTCCCGCCGGTGATTGAAACGCGACACTATCGGGACTCCCGCACAAGAGCTCCCCCTTTTCTCAGTAGAAAACATTTCGGGACAACCGTAGTGTTGGCAGCATTATCCCGAATGAAATGCAGGAGTCCCGGTTTTCTCGCGAATCATTTTTTGTCCGCAGTCATTCCGTCGGACACAAGGTTTCAACCGGCGGGACTTAACCGCGAATGTCTGCGTAGCAAAATGGGTTGCAAGCATGTTAGCCATATGTGCTGCAGGTCAGAGTCGCGGAGCAGATACCAGCAATTGCGGAAGGGACGTTATCTGAATGAAGTAAGTATCAGCTGTCTGAGAAGTCGGATGTCCGTATGAGATACACGCACGCGAAAGCTGCTCGCAGGAGTATATGGCTTTGCATGTAGTACGCAGCCAGCGCGCTTCAGCAGTGATAAGTGCTCACGCTTTGCAATTATAAACCTTCCCTTTTCCCGAGCTGAAGTTCGCGCGTGTACGAAGACTCATAGTGAGAGGGCTAGGTTTTTGGGGCAGGAAAATTCGCACTAAATCAGCTCAAAAGACACATTCTTTATAAAACATCAATATTCATAATGAAACATTGCATCGCAAATGTCGTCGTTGCCGCCACATTTATATTTTCCGCTCCACTATGTCCCTCCCCTTAATCAGATACCCTTGATTACAGGAGTTAGAATGACCAAAGAAAACATACTTTGCGCCGATTTGTCATTGTCTGCCATCACTGATGGATCCTCGTCATAACTCTCATACTCGTACTCATCATCGCGGCGTTTATCTTTTCCAGTGGCGGGCGCATTAGATGTGACTTCCTCTTCACCTATGTATAGCATAGCAAAACACTTCATCCAAACGTTGGTCGCACTGCGCAAGTGATAGAACGCTTTGCGGCCATTCGAGTTCCCCCTTCTACTTTTGCACTGTCGCCGCCCCATCCTCTGTGTGTATTTGAATCACAAATCTCCTGAGTGACCGCCTGGCATTCCTCTCAACGCGGGTGACCAACCATGTTGCCTTAGTTAGTAAAAACCTACCAGTTATCATGTTGAAGCATATAAGAACCGTGAGAATAAACACACTCTGAATAAATTTCTGAAGAGAATGTATATAGCTTATTTTGCTTTCAATTTCAAGCGGTTAACCCACTGCCATGATTGGTGGATGCACCAATCTAGTTAAACGATTCTAAAAGAATGAACATCACAGTCTCTCGTTTATTGCTTCTGAACGCAGGGGGTGGGGGTGGTTATGACCACTGCTTTATCACCAACCATGCTGGGGGCGTAGGTGCACCTGTCACGGAATGAAGGTGGCCCACGCGGACAACCGCATAGACCACACCATGCATATTACAGACAAAGACATGTACCAGCTGTCCGCGCGGGTGTAGCCTATCGGCAACATGTGTTTCCTTCTAGGGGGAAGCTTGCACTGAATCAACCAGTGAAATTCATGTTTCATACCGACATGGGTCTCTGTGTTTCGACATGTGTCCCCTGCACCATTATGGGTGCAGGGGCCCCCCTCCTATGCTTCCACAGCCTAAAATCCTGGGCATATCCGGAGGGCGCGCAAAAGTTCCTAGCACTTTTCCTCGCACCATATTCGCACCAGCATTCGCAGCCAGTGGCCGTATTTATCGACGAACCCAGTGGGTTTCAGAATCCATTGGGTAGCCTCAATCCAAACCGTTATTCGCGAAACTAGTGGGTGCCGGAACCCAGTGGGTCAAGCCTACCCAGTGGGTTCCGGAACCCACAAAAAGCCACTTAACGTTATTCACGAGCGAACCCAGTGGGTTCGCAGACCCAAAAGTCAAGCGCACCGGTACTCACGAAACAAGTTACCCAGTACTCGTAGGTTCCGGAACCCACTGAGCGCTGGGTTGGCGGACCCAAGCATGATGCAAACTCAGTGGGGGTTACATGCAAACACAGTCCTTTTGCTGAATATCATGTGGGTTTATATAAGCAGGGATGGTCACTACTTGCAATACATATATGTTGAAAACACTTTCCATATTTAATATGACTGACGGGAATTTTGTTGGATAAATTTTGATAAGATATTCCACTGAGATGTAGGACTAGCAAACTTTATGCCATTTACAGTTTGGCAATCTTTGAAAAGTCGCAAACAAGCTTTTGCGGAAATTTTTGGTGAAAACGTGAAAGCCTATGCATATTCCGATTTTTGTGCATACTATCTCGGATTTTTTCAAATACTGCTATGGCTCAAGAGGGAGCCTCATATAGGGCAGAGCGTCTGCTTGCATTCATGTTATTAATTGGAATTGGTTGTCCATGTTGTTCATGTTTGTCATGTTTGTTTATTCCGCAGTTAATAAAAAATAGTTCTCAATTCAATCAAGTCAGCGGAGAACGCTTCAAAGAAGCGGGAAAAAGGCTTCAATCAAAATTATTTGTTCCTTAATTTTGTGGAGTGAAAATGGGAGGGGCGCAAGTAGTAATCATGTTAGTTTGCATGGTAGAGAGAACTCTGTGCAACGATAATCCCTTCGAACATTCCAGTCTAAGGAAAACGTACTTTTCCTACTCTTCAGGCGCCCTCGCCAAGAAATACAAAGGGATATGGGCAATTTTCATAACGGCTATTTTACTTGTTATCACCAAATTCAATCCCTCTGCTCAAGCCAGATGAAAAACTGCGCAAACAAAAAACAACACCCTTGCGAATGCCGCTTTGTCACTGATGGTGAGGATTTCGTTTAAAAGGCGTACATATACTTATCATCATAACTTATAATAACGGGCTAAGGATGTTTACGTGTTGTGTGTGTGTGTGTGTGTGTGTGTGTGTGTGTGTGTGTGTGTGTGTGTGTGTGTGTGGTGTGTGTGTGGTGTGTGTGTGTGTGTCTGTGTGTAAGTCTGTCTGTCTGTCACGAAATTCGTAAAACGTGTTCCAGCCAACCTCCTGAGCCAAAATTTTGCACAGCGCATGCTACCAACATGAGAGCCCACCATACTAAAGCACGAGCGAATCCGTTGCGTGTATTCCTCAAAAAATGCACGTCTATCGGATTCACTTAGCTTTTAGCCGGCAAAATTGAGCCTGTAGCACAACTTTTTGCAAAGTCACGGATATGTTTGACAAGTTAATGTGCAAGCCATGGACTTCAGCCCAAAAATTTGAACTAAACTTTATTACTTTGCGAAAACGACGCCAAAAAGGATTGTTTGCGTAGATGTTCAATTTGCCAAGATTTTACCCGATTATTTGATAAGATTTTTGCACAGAGATGTAGCCTACGGTCATTATTGCATCTTTTGGCGAATACCGAGTCATGAAAAGTCCAAAAACCTATTCAAATTTGCATTTGTTCTCTTTTGGGAAAAGTTTCGTTTAAGCGAAATTACCGACATTTGGAAAAGCTTTTGGATGAATAGTTGCTTACAAACCATTCGTGATAGTTCGCATAGCGCGGTAGTTGCTTACAAACCATTCGTGATAGTTCGCATAGCGCGGTGAGTTTCAATGTCTCCATTGTCAAAGAACGAGTGAGGCATACAGATAGTAGGACCAGCGCGAGCCTCTGCGAAGCAGAGGTGATGCACTGGTTATGTATAGCAAAAGCACCCATAAAATAAAAACCTAGCTATCATTGCACCCTGAAAATCGGTTCAAATTACGTAAGTCCTATATGTCAGCTATATCGAGCAATTTTCAAAGGTATGGCTAATATCCACGGATCTTCCTCATAGAGGGATCACAGCCGGTTAGTCGCGAGGCTACGTGGGGCGTCCCCAGGTGGCGGATAGGGGGATAATCGCCGACCAAAAGCGACCCCGCGCCTGCTCTGATAAGCAAGCGGAGCCGGGGGACGGACTCCCTGCCTCCACTAAAAGCTTGCGCCCTAATTTCCCGGGTAGGTGTGTGGGGAGGCGAGTTCGGAGTCGCCTCCAACAAATAAGCTCCGATCGTCCCTCGCGGGGGTTTTGAGCCCAACAAGCTATCCCTGCGAGTAAATTCTTGTTCGACACAGTGATAATATGGAAAGCTCCTTTAATCTTGGAAGAGCCACTGGTAAGGCAGCGCCAGTGGGGACAAGGTTTGAAAGGCGATCTAGGCTGCCGAAAACGAGACGGACTATGATGGCGATCTGTACTTACAACGCGAGGACGCTGGCATCGGACGCATCTATCGAAGATCTCATGATGCAAGCAAGGAAGATTAAGTACGACGTCATCGGACTGACCGAGACAAGGAGGCACCACCCGCTGAACGCCACATTTGAGACTGGAGAAGAACTGTTTCTAGGAACATGCGACAGTCGAGGAGTAGGTGGAGTGGGAGTCCTTGTCAACACGAGTTTGGCCATGAACATCGATTCGTTCGAACAACTTACAACTCGAATCGGACGTTTGCGAATATCAAGATGTGGATCAATCCCTGCCTTGACCGTCTTCATTGCGTACGCCCCAACATCCAGCTACGACGAAAACGAACTCGAGGAATTTTATATGGACTTGGAGAAGTTCTACAGAGAAGATCATACCTTCTACAAGATCATCGTCGGTGACTTCAACGCGAAGATCGGAACTAGAAGGTCGACTGAGGAACTTAACATCGGAACCCATGGTCTGCAGTGGAACGAACAAGGGGAGAGACTGTCCGAGTTTATCATGACGACGAGGACTATCCATGGAAACTCACAGTTCCAAAAGCCCTCTTCCCTACGCTGGACCTGGGAATCGCCCGGTGGAGAGTACCATAACGAGATTGACCACATCATCGTCAACAGAAGGTACTGCCTGACGGACGTCGCTGTTGTTCCGAAGTTCTACACGGGATCAGACCATCGTCTCCTGCGCGCCAAATTCTACTTTCCGCGGAATGGAGAGAGAGCCGTCAAGTTCAGGAAACATCGTCCCATGAATACCACCAACTGGGATCTGTTTTCTTCGATATCCGACTCATGGCGAGATACCGTGATGGACAACATCGACGAAGAATACGAACGGTTCGTACAACATCTCCACGGTTGTGCCAAGGAAGCTCAGAGTCTAAGAAGTACGAGAAGGCGTCTCACCACGGAGACTTTGGAGCTGATACGCTAACGTGGACGCGCACGAGCCACAGGCAACTACCGACTGACGTCCGAGCTTGCGAAGCGATGCAGAGAAGCGATAAAAGAAGACCTTAAGGAGAGAAGAGTAGCAGTGATGGTTGACGCCGCGGAGGCTGGAAGAAGTATACGCAACGCCCCCCGAAGCTTCGTCAACTTCAAGACAAAGATGACCGCACTTCGTCGTCCTGACGGAACCATAACTGCTTCCCGAAGATCAATGGAGAAGGTCATCCACGACTTCTACTCGGATCTTTTTGCGAGCCACGTCCACCTTCCACCATGCCATCTCAAGGAGGACGAGTATGTCGCACCGTCTGTTCTTCCTTCCGAGATTCGTCATGCTATCATGTCGATGAAAAACCGTACAGCACCCGGTCCCGACAGGATTAAGCCAGAACATCTGAAGAATCTTTCGCCAGTTCTCATCAAGACTTTGGCAAGGCTCTTCATGCGGTACCTGACGGAAGGCAAGGTTCCAAGGCAATGGAAGACCAGCAAAACCGTGTTGCTGTACAAGAAGGGAGATCCCTGTGACATCGGCAATTATCGCCCTATCTGCTTGTTGTCTGTAGTCTACAAACTCTTTACGCGAGTCATTCTCAACAGGATCGGAAGAGAGTTGGACGAAGGACAACCATGCGAGCAAGCTGGGTTTCGAAGAGGATTCAGCACAATCGACCACATACACACGGTGTCAAGGCTCATTGAAGTGTCACGAGAGTATAAGATGCCGCTCTGTCTCACCTTCATCGACTTGAAGAAGGCCTTTGACTCGGTTGAGACTGAAGCCGTCATCGATGCCTTGAGCAATCAAGGTATTCCGACTCATTACATCAAGATAATTCGTGAGCTGTATAACGACTTCACAACCACCATAACACCATTCTACAAGGACATCATCATTGACGTGAAGAGAGGCGTGCGACAAGGCGATACTATATCGCCGAAACTATTCAGTGCCGCTCTGGAGAACGTCATGCGTAAGTTGGAATGGGACAACATGGGAGTGAAAGTCGACGGCCGGCAGCTACACCACCTTCGCTTTGCTGATGACATCGTATTGATAACACCAAGCATCACGCAGGCGGAACAAATGCTGGCCCAGTTTGACGAAGTGTGTGGAAAGGTCGGTCTACGGCTGAATCTAACGAAGACGATGTTCATGAGGAACGGAAGAGTGCCTGATGCTCCTTTCATGCTCAACGGGACGAACATCACCGAATGCTCAAGCTACACCTACCTAGGTCGTGAACTCAATATGATGAACGATCTAGCTCCGGAACTGAGCAGGAGGAAACGTGCAGCATGGGGAGCATATAAGACAATTGAGGACGTAGTGAAGAAGACCAAGAACATCCGGCTCCGCGCCCACCTTTTCAACTCGACGGTTCTTCCTGCTTTGACGTACGCTTCAGAAACATGGACAATGAGAAAGCAGGATGAACACGCGGTTAGCGTCATCGAACGAGCTGTTGAGAGAGTGATGCTAGGAGTGAATCGACTCACGCAAGTGAGGCAAGGATTACGAAGTTCTACCCTACGTCAACGATCGAAGATCAGGGACGCTGCCGCGTACGCCAAGCAGAACAAGATAAGATGGGCCGGGCACGTAATGCGTTTCGACGACAACTGGTGGACGAGAGCTGTAACAGATTGGATACCACTGGACGTCAAACGCGAACGAGGAAGACCGCCGACGCGATGGTCAGATATGTTCACGAAGTCCTTTAATGAAGTCCTTCAGAGCGTTCCACGTGTTCCTGGTGCGATACGTAAACATTGGTCAACAATCGCCCGAGACAGGGACGAATGGAGGCATCACTGGTACCCGCTCGTGCAACACGATGATCAACGGGGATACAGGTGATACAGGTGATGGCTAATATTCTGACAATGGTACAAGAAAGATCACACTTGCGCTTTTGCATCTCTTTCCAAGTCGACATTCATGTCTGGGTCCGAGACAATACTCAAATAAAGAAGGACAAGAATAAAGAAATGCAAGCTAGCCGCACTAAAGACATTGACTGATGGCACTCATCAAACATAAGAGTTGCTGACGCTTTTATTATAGCGCGATTCTTGTGCGTGGGAAAATGAGGAAAATAGTGCACCGACTAGAGAGGCAAATTGATGACGTCATGGGTTGGCGAACTCAGCGGGGTACTTGTGAATACCGATCTTACCCAGTGAGTTCGCGAACCCACGAAGCTCACTGGGTTTGCGAACCCACTTTGTTCGTTGATGAATACAGCCACAGGAGGGTTCTAGCACCTTCGCGCTTTAGAGGTCAGGCCACGCCCATTGCTACACCCGTTTACTGGCCTCATTGTGAGGTGTGCAAGCAGCGAGAGCATAGACTCGATATCAAAATCACAATGGAGAAAAACGAAGAACATAATCATCATTTCTTAAATGAGGAGGCTTGGAAACTCCTGCTAAGCCATCCTTTCAAAAATGAGCGTTTCAACACTATTTGCAAGAGATAAATAAAGATAGAAAATTCGGTCATTCAAAATAGCAGAGAATCTAATTGATCGGTTGTAAATTCCTGTGGCCGTATTTATCATTGATACCTTGAGGTAAATTTTACCTCCAGGTAGTTTTATCACTCATTATCAGCAAAATTGCATTGAGAATTTACCTCAAGGTACTTTGTAAATACGGGTACTTGCTTATAATGAGTGATAAAACTACCTAAAGGTAGAATTTACCTCAAGGTATTAGTGATGAACACGGCCACTGGTCATCTTATTGAAATACTACCGAGAGTTAAATAACTGAGTGACCAGAAGCGGTAAATACGCTATGACCTTCCCCACTAGAATTATCTGTTTTGTAAGGAGTATATCAAAGTTTTCGAATAAGCAACTCAACACGTTTTTCAGTAACTTGATATTTGAACATTTATACTGTTACTTACTTTTGTCTGCATCGTATATGTATTTCAATGAGTCATTTAACTACTCTAATGATCAATAAGATCTTGATTATCAAAAACCAACGATGTACTAGAATAACAAACTTCGGTCGCATGTTGACTGAAGAGATGGCTAAGTTCCGCATATCATATTTGCAGATAACTCAATTTGCTTTAATTCTTAGATGAATTCTAGAATTGCGTTTAATGGACTAACTTCTCTGTCATTTACTTTAATTGGAAGATTATATTTATACGATATGATTCATAAACTTCGCAAGCGTGAGCAATAACAAAATTGAAGCGTTATTCTCTCCGAAAATGTGAGTAAAACGTAACTCAATGCTGTAAATTCAGCTGCAGTCATTTACGGATCCTAAGCTCTTGACCTAAAAAAGTTTTTTTTCTAGATTTCAGCGCTATTATCTTCAAAAACAATACATGTCATACAGTGCGTTACACAATACATAATGAGGGCAGCTAGAGGGAGGAATGAAGTTCGGAGCTGCCCTTAGGCCCCGAGAAAGTGCGATGTCCTTTTAAGGATTTTTGGAAGTGCCAAGTGTTCCTGCGAGGAAAAGCGGCTAGGCTTTGGGAACTTAAGCCATGCCGCCGGCATATCTCACGCAGTTTCAGTCTCGAGGCGATCTGGCGACTTGCCAGGTGTTTCAAATGCAGCACCCACAGACAGCAAAGTGTTTATGACTTTCGTAGGATAATACAATGCTCATTTACTGCACATCCAAATGGCGCTAACGATGAGTTACGAACAATGAAGTACCGACAGTTTGCGTCGCAACTTAGCAGTCGTTTCAGAACTAAGAGTGACTTCGTATCCACCGATAATTGGCTCTTCGGTATGGTACGGAGTGCACGGTGGGTAAATGATGCCACGAGTACACTACATCATATCGCCACAATGACCATTGGAAACCTTTGATCATCGACTCTCAAGGTGTGCATCCTATGTGCCGATAGTTGCTCAACCGCCGCGTTTGTTTTGCTCCTCGGCGCCTACCCATTCTTCGTCCAAAACTAGCCTTTACTTCACACAATGTGTCTATGGTCTCAAATTACACATGCCGCAGTATCTCCTAGTTAGCAATTTGATATCAGCTTATTTGTTCTAACAAATTTAATCTTTAACGATATTTGCGTCAAATTATCGTGGTTTTGTTTTATCCATTCGTTTGTTGAGCGAAAACCTTGATAGCAGTAGTCTGTTTTGCGTAATAACCGGCGAGATGGATCGTGGAAACGGTTAAGAAGCGCATTTTCTCCGAAGGTCACAATTTAGCCCACTATGCGTTTTTGCTAAGTTCTTGAAAGATAACAGACGAACTTTTCTAGCTCATTAGCTATTTGAAGTTACACTTGCCAAGTTTGGCGGCTTTTGGTGAAAAATTAACCAAGGTTTCTACGAAGTTGCCATTAGTTGCATTTCCAAGAGCTTCTGGTCTCCAACATTTGTGTTCTGAGATTTCAAGAAAGCAAAGGAACACTAGAAAATGGAACCACTTCCTGTATACCTTCGAAATATGAAAGACTTCTGTAACGTTATCAATCACTAAAAATTGCTGTCTGATGTCCATCTGGCAATGAAGGTCGTGCTTCTTGACATACACCCACAATCACCCTCTCCTTTGCCCAAACCTGCTCAAATGATGTAGCTTTTCTTCTCTATAAACGCGCGCGACTATCATGTCTAGAAAGCGATAGCTCAGTGGATGCCAAACTGAGTGCCGTAAGTCAAATATAGTTCCAATCCAGCCGACGCGCTGAATAGGGGTTTATCACGAGCTTGCACATGGATAACTCCCTTGGCAACACTTATCATGCAACTCATTTTGAAATAGAACGGAATTATCTGTCAGAAGGACTTACGTAAAAGAGGCGTACGCGTGAGGAGGAGGTACTTATAAAATTTTTGGCAGCGAAAGCGTGCTCTTTCTTGGAGAAAAGATTCAAATGCTGGATTTTTAGAAACTCCTTCACCCTGCATAAAACTATTCTGCTCTCCAGGAGCAATACAATCAGCAGAAATGTTCTGCGCTAAATATTGCAATCATCGTATATAACATCAGATCCTGTTAATTGCTGACGCAAGATGTTTTTGAATGTTTTACATGAGCGTCTTCAATCTAGCAGGAATGTTACAAAAACTAAACTCTTTGTTATCCAAAGCGGATTGACCAAGTTCATTCCATTGGGATGTTGATGACATTGACGATTACAAACACATGATACTTGAAGGCCAAAGTGAAGTTCATTTCTTCAGTTCGTGTGGTTTTAGTATGTTGAAGTTCACAAAAGTGAACAAAGTTTGATAAAGTAGTGGTCGCTATTTCAGTAAAAGCATCAATACTAAAGGTGATGCAATTTATTTTTTTCAGTCATAACGGCTTACAACCTTTTTTTTAGCAATGAACATCGAAGATTTAGCCAAAGGAGGCAAAGCTAAAACACCTGCGAAGAAAAAAGGTTATGATGATGTGGAGATTAGTGATTTGTCGCTGTCCGAGAAGAAGTTAGTTGAAAGTCCGTTCAATATTCTTCTTCCCCACTAATGGCATGGCGTTTACGAAAGCTAATGAAGGAGTATTGCTAGCTTCGCAGTTGATCAAACCACGCCTTCTAAGCCAATGTCTATCGTCCACCTCATTTCGCACAATCACTTCAAGCGTTTCCATGCCTGTGTCATTTGTTGTTCGACCTCATGTCATCTGTTAACAGTCTCTGAAATATAAGAAATGTTGGAAAGGGTATTCGATATTTCTTTATGAAGCGAAGGCTGCAATGTTAAACCTTATACATAGATTAGTGCATCACCTCTGCTTCGCAGAAGCTCTCAGTGGTATCACATAGGCATGTTCCTCCTACTCTATCACAAAAACTTCTCTTAACCTCAGATCACAAAAAAGATGATAATCCTACTTTCCGCATGCCAATAATGGAAGTGAAACTCACCTAGTGATACTTAGCATCACCAATGAGATTTTAGAAGCTATTCATTCCAATTGCTCTGCCATAAGAAATTGGTGATTTTGAGTGGAAGTTTTTCGAGTAAAAAATAGGTGTACTTTTTGCAGAGTTACTGACTTTTTAACTACCTAGGAGTGGACAACATAAGAAGTGTCTATTATGGGCTACATCTTCAAGCAAAAATCTCCTCCATTCATCGAGTAGAACCTAGAACTTTGAACTTTGATTCAACTGGCTTGGCTTCGGGTGCGGCGCTTTGTGACATAATTAAGCCCCCCCCCCTCGCACCCGCGACGCACCTGCGTCTCTCTCGCGCGAGTGCTCCTCTGATCACTAGCTAGCCTTAATTAGGTCACGTAGTCCGCCTTTCCAAAGCCAAGTCAGATGAATCAAATGGTAAAATATCGTAGATTTGAATAGTTGCAACTTTCTGGCGCCGATTTCGCATGAAAGAAAACTTATGAAATTTTTTGAATTTAAATCGATATTTTCAGACTTGCATGCTAACAAAGCAATAACTTCACAAAAAGTTGTATAGGAACGTGGCTTTGTGCGTCGAAAGATGTGTGGGCCCGTTTGTGGGAAGCACGGTTTTCCAAGGCTCCGCGCACTGTTCCGCTTTATTTTTTTGCGTAGTGATCCCACATGCTGAGAGCATGTGTTATGCAAACTCGCTCTACGAATTTCGTAACGGGCACACACACACACATACACATACACAACACACACACACATACACACACAACACACACACAGCCCGTTATTATTATTTGAACCCCCCCCCAACTATCTTCTGTCTCAGTACCCCCCCCCCCTCACCTTCTCTTCCGTAGGCATGACAAAAGGTTCTATCATGCATAATTAGGCACATATTCGTAACAGTGCGTCACCTCTGCTTCGCAGAGGCTCGCACTGGTCCTATTATCCACTTCCTTCCTCGAAGTCGTAAAATGATGTCTTTGAAACATACCGAGCGATGCCGATCATCAGAATGAATTGTGAACAACTACTCATTTCAGAAGCTTTTTTATGTAAGATCGGTGATTTTGAAAAAAAAGAAAGTATTCTCTAAAAGATTAATTGCGGGTTTGAATTACTTACTGGAGTTACAATGGCTTGATAGTCCGCATAAGGATGATGACAACCGTGGGTGACATCTCTAAGCAAAAATCTTCTTGAAGTAAAAACTTGACAAATCGACTACTTACGCAATTATTCCTTTTTGGCGCCGATCTTGCGTGAAGGTGGATTTTTTTGCTCACTTTTCGGACTAGAATCCATGGTTTGCGGTGTTGCTTGTTAGATAAATCCACGATTTTGGAAAAAGTGAAATTACAGGCCCACTTTGGCGCTTCCAGGTCGCGTGGACTTGTTTGGCGCACAGTTTCACATGTTCCACTCAACGGATCGGCTTGTGCTTTTGCACACTTTACTTACATGCTGATAGGGTGCTACTATCAAAATCCCAGCTCAAGACCTTTGCTGGAACTCGCTCTATAAATTTTGTGACAGACAGACATTCAGACAGACACACACACAAAAACACGTACACACTCTTAGCGCGTCATTATCATAACTTATAATAACGGGCTAAGGGTTGTTTACGTTTGTCTGTGTGTGTGTGAATCTCTGTCTGTCACGAAATTCGTAGAGCGTGTTCCAGCCAACGTCCTGAGCCCAAATTTTGCACAGCGCACGCTACCAGCATGAAAGCTCAATGTACAAAAGCATAAGCGGATCCGTTGAGTGGATCCATTAAAAACTGCGCGTCAAACGGATCCACTTGGCTTCTGGCCAGCGAATTTGTGTCCATAGTACTACTTTTTGCAGAGTTAAGGATATATTTGACAAGCTAAAGTGCAAGCCATAGACGTTAGCCTAAAAAAGTAATGAAAAGTCTACTACTTTTCGAAAACAGCGCCAAAAAGCATTCGCTGTCTGAACGGTCAATTTTTCAAGATTTCACCTGATTATTTGAGAAGATTTTTGCGCAGAGGTGTAGCCCACTCAGGGCCCGGCACGAGTCGGTTTCTAGGCTTTCTGAAAACGAAGTCTCCCCTGAAAGTTTTACGAAGCCCCCTTTGACCTACCTGCTTAGGAGAAGATGAAAACAAGAAAGATTCACTAGTCTGAAAGAAAAGGCGTAAGATAAGAGTGAAGATCCAAACTGGAGCTGAATACTACGCATGAACAAGACTTTGGCATTAGAGCGCGATATCTAACAGCGAGAAGAAATGAAGGCAAAAAACAAAGGAAAGGGAATGATATGACAATGTTTTCATGCTCAGGGATAGATTTTTGACCGGGGAATCCGTCCATGCTAAAAAGATCCGAAACTTAGGTGAACTGAGGAAAATATATGCTCCAGACGATCTAAGATCGTCTGGTGGCTATTTGGAGACGATCTAATTTTGGAAAAGGTATTACTTCACATAAGTTTTCAAATCTTTCTACATAATAGCTTCGCAAATAATATTCTATGTATAGAGTTCAATTTTGGTGTCATATGCTTTTGTGTACGTTGTAAACATGTAATTTGTTGATTTACGCCTTGCTTTCAAATCGCGCGCACTTTTCGCCATACACGACAGAGCATGTCAATCGTGTGATAACCTGTCCGAAAAGCTTGTGTTCGACTAACGCTTATTCTTGGTGCTCGGCCCCGACTCGTCAAAAACGATATCCCCTTTGCTGTTTGCTTTGAAAACGAAGTCCAGCCTGCTTCCAACGATCTGTGCCGAGCCCTGAGCCCACTATGTCTATTGTCCTTGCGGCGACTTCCAAGCCATAAAAATTCCAAAAGGCTATTCGAATTTGCATCTGTTCTTCTGGGAAAGATTTTATCCACGCGAAAATGCCGATCTCATATGGAAGACCTCTACGAATAAGTAGTTGTTTACGAATTATTAGTGATAGCCTACATAGCGCGGTGAGTTTCAATGTCATTATTATGCGGGAATGAGTAAGGCATACAGAAAATAGGGCTAGTGCGAGCCTCTGCGAAGCAGGAGTGACGTACTGGGAGTAGGATAACGAGCTGGCATCCCCGGTCTCACCCTTGTTTGGAGCCAATTTATCCAATTTATATCATATTTTCCTTTTTCTTTAGGAAGAAACCCCAAATAGTTTTGAAATTTTGGTTTAAGAAGAAAAGCGCATACAAGCCAACAAATGCGACGCAGCTGACGCTCACAGAAAGTAGATTTGAATTGTTAAAGTGATCCATTTCCTGTAGTTTTAATGCTACGCTCGCGTCGAAGCTTGTTCAAGATCAAGTTACAATAGATACGATATGATCTCTCATGGATAGGCGCAGTTATTTATTTTGAGAAAAAAAGGCACCCCCTTTTTTGCAAATTTGCAATGAGCAATGACGAATTCACAAGTTGGGTTCAAAAGTTACATGCCGATTTCTCAAATTTTATTTTCCAGGAGCAAAAAGATTGAGCCCAAAATTCTGAAGGTAACTGTTGAATTATGAATTTTGACTTTTGCACAGCCCGTCTTTACAGGATGAAGCCAAGGGAGACAAAAAAGATAAGAAGACAATAGAGACAAGAACTGAGAAAACAAATGAGAAAACGGTCTCTAATTTAATGTGCTAGGTTTCAAAAATACGTAAATTAAATTACAGCATTCGCCAAAGTCAGACGATGTGCAGAGAACACCCGTGATAAAAACGGAGGAAAAGACTCCTCGGCGTAATGCGAATGTTATGTCCATACCGAAGTACACAGGAGGGCCAATCTCGGCTGGCTCTGGTAAAACACTTGCCTAAATAGAATATTTATTATAGAAATATATTCCAGATACACCTAAAAAAGGAAATTGTTGCACTCTTTTGTGATCGAACAATTCTCACAGTAGTTTTGGTATGACCCCTCGATTTTCGATCAATAAATCTGACGTTTTGCTACTATCTAGTGATACAAAATGATGAATGCACTACTTATTGGGACAAAAGTCCTGGTTGTTTTAATCGTATGCGACCTTATCGCGCTGAAAACAAAAACAAAACCACTTTCGCTCATCTGTTCAAGGCAAAGTAATGAGCGTTCCTTATCCTGCCGCGGCTTAGAAGATACAAATTTTTGAAGCATATGGTTCGACAGAGCAAAGGAATTTACAAGATGTTGTTTGAAAATCGCAAAAAGATCGATACGCGGAAAGTTAAGAAAAGTCTAGAAAATATTTTAAACAATTAAAGCTCAAGTTTCAAAGTCCACTAAGCTAAAGCAGCGGGAGCACTCGAATCGAAGAGAAGACCGTGAAGACGGGTGTTTCCGGTACTGCTTCACAAAGTTTCCAGCTGCGTGTATCGTTTCCACGCTGCACGTTGTCCTCTGCCCAGCTCTCAAATGGGGTCACGATTGTGATATGTAAAAACAAAGCAAACACACTCCAAAAAAGATTTGTAAAATAACGCAGGAATGGTGAAAATTAAGGACTCAATTGGAAAGCATCTATTAAAATTTTGATGTTTCTGGTGCGATTGAGAAGAATGTACATTCGAAACTTATGATTTTGTTTATCTCCAATCCTGTAAGCACGGTGCGACTTGTTCCCCAGTCGTAAAGATATGGAGTCTTGTTCTTGACCACTCGTAAAGAAAAGTTGAAGCTCAATATGAGTCCGTGTTTACTAACTTACCAGTTGTTATACAGTACTGACATCATAAAGCCACTTCAGACACTGTCGTACTTTACGTTCCTGTTGATAAACTTGTCTGAAACTTTGCTGTATGGTGTGCATATCAGCATACCTGACTCCTCAGAAAGCTCTTAATCTTGTTGAGTTAGAACTGAGAAGAACAGAAAAATTCGAAAAGGCCTCGTAAAAGTTGGACAAAATTATAGAACCACCTGGTTACTTTGAACACTATCGCATCCCTTGACTCTAAAATTATTTTTACGTGCTAAACTATGAAACATTTGCGACAACTGCGACCTGTCATTCTAATTAAAGAGAAATGATCGCTGCATTTTTTCAAAGTATCGAAACAATCTGCTTTTGCAAACAGTTCTGTCTGAGTTTTCAAGCTCTTATTCATTTTATGTGATAGCCTTGGAATCAACTGAGCCTTTCGATGACTAAGGTGAAGAGTGCTTTCATAAACTCTGCGTTATCGCTGATATTGACAGACAGACTTCAACCTTACTATAAGGGTGTCGCGCTTTTGCACCACACTCATGCAATGTTCATAAAGTGTTGGACTTGACTTATTACATTGCTTACATGGTGATGCAGCTTTTGCAACAACTTTCTGATTTTCCTTAGTGATGCAGTCGCGATTTATATCTGAAGTATTAGGTTGTTACATAAGTCTTGTTACACTTTAATTTCTTACGGCGATAAGTCATGCACCTCATATTCTTTAAGGGCTCCAGGGTACCTTTCGATAGAGCAAAGCAAGCTCTACAAGATAGTAGTTCGCACTCGTTTCGATCCACCATGGGTTTGCAACCGAAATCTGAGTCGCACTGAAGGCTCAAAAAATCGCGAAAAATTCATATCTTTGTTCAAAAAAATCCTACGAATCTCCAACTTGCTCACAAAAATTGCACACTATATTAGACACTCATATGTACCGTTGCTGTATTTTTTCCTCATCTAAAAAGCGAGAAAACGAAAACTTTCAAGTTTTCACAAAAACGAAGCTATGCTGTTTCTATTCATGCAGCTGTATACTACAAGCCCTTTGAAGTACAACCGTAAATTTTCAGCTTTCTAGAAGCCCTAGTTTTCGAAAAATAGCTAATTTAGCATTGAACACCCGAGTGAAAAAAGCTGAGTTCGGTATTTTTCGAAAATTAGAGCTTCTAAAAAGCTGAAAATTTACGGTTATACTTCTAAGGGCTTGTAGTGTACAGCTACATGAATAGAAACAGCATAGCTTCGTTTTTGTGAAAACTTGAAAATTGTTTTCTCGATTTCTAAATAAGGAAAAAATTCAGAAACGGTACATATGAGTGTCTAGTATAGTATGCAAGTTTTATGAGCAAGTTGGAGATTCTTAGGCTTCTTCTAAACGAAGATATGAATTTTTCGCGTTTTTTGAGTCTTCAGTACGACTCAGATTCTGGATACAAACTCATGGTGGATCGAAGCGGGTGCAAACTTTTGCATACCATCTTGTAGAGCTTGTTTTGCCCTATCGAATGGTACTCTGGAGTCCTATTGAAATTACGAGTTCACGACTTATCGCCGTAAGAATTTGAAGTGTAACAAATCTTATGTAACACCCTAATACTTTACACGAAAATTCTCAGCAAAATTGAATTTGAGATAATTATAAATCTCACTATTTCCCTCTCTATTTCATGTCACATTTTACGCGATAAATAAGGTTACCTAAGATTTTGAGGTTTTGAGTGGTCTCGTGATCTACCTCGTGATATAAGTTGGCCATGATTGTGCAGGGTGCTCCATTCAACATTCAATGGAGGACAACTGCGGCTAAGCCAGAATGCTCAAACCGAGTATTTTTGACTATGCACACAAGTTCATTGTCGACAAGCGACGTAATGGCTACATTGCAGCATTTTCTGGATTGAAAATCGAGTTTTGTGGTGCAAAAGTGCGACAACTCTATGAGCTTGAAGTTTGTCCGTCAATATCAGCGACTAAGCAGAGTTTACACATACCCTCTCATCTCGTTCATTGAAAAGGCTCAGTGAATTTCATGACTCTCATGACGTAGAAGCAGACTGACATTTGAAGCTTTTGAAAGCAGAAAATGCAATGTTCATTTCTCTCAGGGATGATAAGTCGTAAGTGTCGCAGATGATTCATATTTTAGGGTATAATTTTACAAAAACATTTTATAGGCTTTTCGAATTTTTCTGTTTCTCTCCGTTCAAACTCAATAAGATTAAAAGTCGTTTTGAGGAGTCATGGCAACTTAACATACAGTTTACAGCAAAGTTTCAGTCAAATTTGTCAACGCGAACGCAAATTAACGATTTCCACAGTGCCCTCATAATTATGCCCAGCACTGTATCCGTTAAAATTCTTTCTACTCCATAGACTGCCAAGCATTTCAGAAAATGAGTTTGCAATCCTTCGAATTTACGAACCAAGCAACCTTATAACGTGAGAGTCTGAAAGTTTCACCTGTATTGACGATGGCTCACGTTGCGCCGAATTACAGTGTGAACGAAACCAAGTATTGGTCAGTTTAGGATAAACATGTTGATGAGTAGAGAACATGTATTGACCTTATCCAAACGCTTCATTAACACATTCACGACAATACGACCCACCGGTGGGTCGTACGTGTCCTGCCATTTCGGACAATACGACCCACCGGTGGGTCGTATGCTTTCTGAAGTTTTGGATTTTGCTAGTTCACGGTGAAACTTTTTAGCCAAACCAAGTAAACTTCTGTATACATCTCTTGAGGTACTTCCCAAAAGATTAGCACTTCAGGCCACAAAGCGCATCAGTGACCTGAAAATATTACGCAAACTCAATTTTGCGAAATATGCTTTGGTCCGAAATGGCAGTCATTGAAAAATCGGCGCTGTCGTGAATGTGTTAAAAAAACAACAAAAACGAGAGATGAACTTGGCAGAGAAAAATTATTTGGTCAAGAAATTGTGAAGTGTGCCAAGTGAAAATGATGTTGAGCATGTACGCATTAAACTTCCCGCACCAAATGCAGTTTCGCCCTTACGCTAAGGTGGGGAAGGGGGAGGGCGATAGAACGCTCTTGAAATCTCTAACGGAAGGGTGCCACAAATCTTCTCCGAATGGAATTCTATGTGTAATGCCCATACGCGCAATGCGTGAAAGCCTTTGTAGGGGGGGGGGGAGAAGCGGCGCTCCCACTGATTGAAAAGCAGCAGCGGATTCGCCTGGGGCCCTTCGTAACGAAGTCGACTCCCTCGCCGCAGAGTTCTTTTTTTTCGCGCAAACGAGCCTATTTACTTATCGGGTTATCGCCTTATCGGGTTCGTAATAAACGCATATATAGTAAGAGAAGGAGGTAGGTACTTTCGGTTTCTCCTCAGTTTTTGGAGATGCGGGAGGTAGAGGTTGTTTAACAAGCGGTTTGTAACTGGTTGTATAACGACCGGTTTTTTATTCGGTTGTTTCCTTTTCTTTTTCAGCTTCTTGTTTTTCGTCTTTCCTTTCTTAGGTTTTGGCCCTTTTCTTTTCTTTTTTGAAGCTTTCTTCTTCTTCTTTCGACTCTTTCTTTTTCTAGGGTTTTTGGAGTTTTTCTTCGTTGGTTTCGGTGCCGGAGGTGCTGGAGGAAGTTTCGGTGTTGGCGCTTGTGTTGTGGGCTTTACTGAAGCTTGTTCATATTTCCCAAGGGCGCATCCGAGCACTACATTCTCCGCTTTTAGTTTGTACTACCTTTCGAAATGTTCCCTAAAACTCAGCAAAAAACTGAGTGAATTCTCGCTGATCAAGAGGACACAGTCGAACTTACTTCAATATGAGAATAACCAGTGCGTCACCTCTGCTTCGCAGAGGCTCGCACTGGCTCCAATCTAGGCCCTACTCATTTTCGCATAATGATGGCATTGGAACTCACCGAGCAATGCCGACTATTACGAACAAAATGTAAACAACTACTCATCCCGAAAGCTTTTTTATAAGAAATCGGTCATTTCGCGTGGATGAGACTTTTTGCAGGAAAACAAACACAAATTTTTATAGGTTTTTGATTTTCCCGTGGTCTTGACAGTTGCAATAAGAACAGCAGTCACCGTGAGCTACATCTTTGTGCAAAAATCTCGTCAAAAGCTCTGGTAAAACCTTGGCAAATTGACCATTTAAGCAACCAATACTTTTTGGCGCCCTTTTTGTAAAGTAATGGACATTTGATCACTTTTTTGGGCCTAAGTTAACGGCTTGCACATTTACTTGGCATAAACCTTCACGACTCTACAAAAAGTGGAAT